ATCACGCAACCCAAAAACAACTAATTAGACATGTTACAACTGTATGTGTACCAAAGGCAAGTTTTCTTTCGGAATTTTCTCTTTGTTTACGTGCAAGTTACAACTACAATGCTATTATGTCAAGCCTAAAGGAAAACTAAAGAAAGCAATTTTTTGGGGGTTCAAGGCAATCCCTTTTATAAGTCTTGAAAGCTGTATTTGAGAATGAAAAACGTGCGCTAATGGTGGTAAGCCTTACAAATTGGTTTGTGGTAACGATTCTTATCGGATTCTGCATCATGTTCAAAATTAGACGATGAAAATTCTGTCAAGCGAAAAATTAGAAGAGACGTTTTGTTACTAGCAAATAGATTCGTGACGTTTGTTTTAAAAGTTAAAGCTAATTTGTTAGATCTAAGGAGTAATACGTAAAACTGTAGCGCTGTACAGTGATCTATCACTTAGCAATGTCAGGACTATAAAGCTAGGGTGATGTTCTTTGAAGGCATGGCCTTATCAGACCTGAGCTATGTTTGAAAAAATTTATGTGATAGACTTGTTTCTGGTGGTAATATTAGCCACATGGTGAAACGTGTGGGGGAAGTATTGTTGTTGTTGTTGTTGTTTGTTATTAAGCACAAAACTACACATAGGGCTGTCTGTGCTCTGCCCTCCACGGGTATCGAAACCCGGTTTCTAGCGGTACAAGTCCGCAGACATGCCGCTGTGCCGGAAGAATAATTACTTTACTGCCTGAGTTACAGTACATGTACGAAGAGCAAAACTAACAATCAACCTGGCCATCACTGTCGTTAATCTACTAATAAAGATTAGAATCTATTATTTCATCAGTTGGTTACCTTGGGTACGATATTTTCGGCCATAAACCTAATAATATCTCCTGAGGTTCGGAAAGCTTAGAAGATTTTGGTTAGTCCTAAATAGATATATTAGCCTAACAATGCATAACAATCTTTATAATAAAAATAGAACAATAAACAATAAATACAAACAAAAAGTAATGACTTTTGGTATACTAATAGTATAACCAATGCTGTTAATGAAAGTAACAATAAATAAATTCAGTGCCTTGCAAAAGTATTTACCCCATACCAATAATGTCACATTTTGATGAAATAAAAAATAATGTAAAAAAGTTTTTAATCAATTTGTTTTTATTCAAAACTCTAATAATCAAATTTAACACTTTTATGTATGAAGGAGGTTGAATGTCAACAAAATCTGTAAAGAAAATATATAAATTAAAATATGATGATTGACTAAGTATTCAACCCCCTAAGTCAGTACTTGGTGGAGACACCTTTGGTAACAGTTACTACTGTGAGTCTTTCTGGATAGATCACTACCAATCACAAAATAAAAATTACCTGAACTATCCAATGACAATATTACAAAGACAAATTTAATATAAATGAATCAACATGCTAAACATGATATATGATGTGACAAAACCTTTTAGTACTCTTTCATAATTTTTATAATATATATATTTGCTCGTTTTGGACTCGAATCTGAGATCTATCGCACAGGAGGCGAATGCTATAGCAGTTGAGATGATTCCCTGACACTTGCTAGTAAGGAATTTTTAACAACTCAAACCAGTGCACTTACTTTAACTATCCCCTGTAATAAACTCATAGAGCTGGTTACAGGAAGTAATATGTAACGTTAAATGTTTTCCCCACTCTAAAAATTCCCTCTCCTTATCATACCTCTTCTTACAATCTCACAAAATTTTTTATTAGACATATAACATGATCACTACCCTTTTTTAAAGACATATTTGTATGTTTTTAGCAAAACTTAAACTTAACTGTCACTACAGTAAACAACTAATTAATTATTTAGAAACGATTTAAAAGAAATTGTTATGCGCTAGTAGTCCAGTGCAGTTAAGCTAAAAATTGTTTAGATTCGGAAGAAATTATGAAACTTCCTGGATTTATAGAGACTTGTATAGGGAATCATATTAAAGCAAGCCCCACTTTGGATCTTGCTCTTAGTACCAGTTATTTAATATCTTATCTAACATGTAAAAATTGCAGTGAGGTTAAACATGCAAATTTGTTATATTGACAGTATATTTTTTATCTGGTCACCTTCAAACGATCATTTATTGTTTTTCCTTGTGAATATCAACGGCACAAAATTTTAGAAAAATCCCTCAAATAATAAAAAAAGTTTAATCCAAGAAATGTTCACAACTCCATCAGATTGCACAGATATCTCAATTATTTAGAAGTTTATTTGGCATACACGAGATAAATACTTACATCAATTTAAATAACCATATTTAAGGAAATTATCCACTCAATGTTCATTCATGAAGACAGTTTCTAGTGCAGACACAAAATTCAGTACAGGGAAGGCTGACTTTACCACACGTACACAGCCCTCTACAAGACTTTTTGCAGCCACAGCGGATCAGTTCTTGGCACGATTTCGATGCCTCTGGTAGTGTTGTCCACCATGGTGACCATCCTCCAGTTGTTGATTGCCAACCCTATTCCTCAGGGCTAGGTAGCTCCTGTAGATCTATAAGTGTCTATCCCAGTACATGTCCAGCCTGATAAGCTGCTCTCTTTGCGTGTTCTAGAAGGGCAGACTCAGTTCGAGGTATGTTCTCAATACTCCTTTTGTCTTGTGCGAACAGTGTCTGACTCGTTTGGTTTACTTTGCTATGTGGACATGTTCGACTGTACATAAGGACCACAAATCTTTTAATTGATTGTGCATCCCCTTCGCTGATGGTTTCTGGCTGAGTGGAAAGTTTACAAAAAGCAGTTGTAACGTCCGAATAACTTTCCATGTCTCAAAGGCACTTTTCTTTCCTATAACACCTAAGGCCGAAGTAATATCACATCCAATGAAAGCATGTAAAAAAGGCAAAGCTTTGCATTTACCTTGCCCCAGATGGCAAAAAAATATATCGATGATATTTTCCTGCACCAAATGAAATTCGCAGTTCTTTTGTGTTTACCTTGCTTGCAGTTATTAATGCAAGGATCATCACAGCAGTATCAACAGTTCTTATCATTTTTTGCTGTATGGGAAGTATGAAGGACGAACCTTGTGTCTGCTTTCTCGTGGTTGTATGCTACAATGCCCAGTTTGTTTAGTTGTGTTGAACTGATAACATTCTCATTGTTTGTGCTGAGGATAACCGTGTCTTACTGAGCTGCCAAAAAAAGTGAACAACTCTGTTTTGTTTTCATCATCGCGTATGAATGCTTGCCATTTTGGTGGATTTACTGTCTTAGGTGTTACACGCCTTCTAATTCCCTGACTTCTCATTTCTCTGTTGCTCTGCTTTAAGCCGCCTTCTACATACCTGTCCCATACCACATCAAGTCGTTTGATATTCTGAGATTGTCCAAATATGTAGGCCTTGAACACTGACGTAGCATATTCCATGAAAATTTTGCAGTGTTTTGATGGCAGCACGTGAACTACTGCAGCATCATCCAAGATATTTACCTCAACATCTGGCTCTTGAGTTGTTTTCAGCAGGAAAAGATGTCTGACTTTTGACCGGATCTCATTTGCCACATAGAAGACAAAGAAGGAAGGTATGTATGGTTCTCATGCCTGAAGAACTCCTCTAGGTTGTCATCTCGGGCTTGGCAAGCAATGTACAATCCGGTGAATAAATTAAAGTCACTCTTTAGTCTAGAACGGTTACTTTGGTTTGAGTTTTATGTGTGGTTCCAAATAGCTGTAAATTTATTCTATTTATGGTGTCAGTGATTGCCTTTGATCATCGATTAAGTATTTCTTCCACATATTCCTCATCGTTGCTCTGTAATTAATCTATTTCAAGCATCAAAATTTTCTAAGCTGAGCGTAGTCCAACAGTTAGTGTGCCGGACTGTGGCTCTGCGGATTCTTCATTCGTGTCTTGTCACCAATTGAAAAAAAAGAAATCGTGCTCTGCACTTTTGGACTATGGACGTGGTATAAGGATGCCGGTCAACTCCCACTATTCAGCCAGACAAAAGTAGCTCAAGTGTTGGTAGTGAGTGCCGTTCACTGCTGTTGACTAGTTGCCTTCCCTCTAATCCATCAATTCAAAAATTAGGAACAACTAGCGCAGATAGATCTTGAATAGCCAGACAAGAGTAGTTCAAGTGTTGGTAGTGAGTGCCGTTCACTGCTGTTGACTAGTTGTCTTCCCTCTAATCCACCAATTCAAAAATTAGGAACAACTAGCGCAGATAGATCTTGAATAGCTTTGTGCGAATATCTGAAAAACAACATCAACTATTTCTTTACATTTTACTATTATGAACAATAAAATAAACTTTGCCCGTACCAATATTTATTTAATGTAACATTAAGGTTACTTTTAATTTGCTCAATTACATTCGAACATCAACTTAATTAGCTGACTAATTATTTCGTGAATCCAACATCCAGGAACTGGCGTGGTTTATTTTTCTAGTTCATATTGAGAAGTGTGCCACTTGTAATTTTAGTTTCCCTCAGGGAAATCAGTTCTGCACTATCCCAACAGGTCACGGACGTAAGAATTCCCGTTATATTGGCGTCCATTGCCACAGGCGACACGTGTATCTGTTTTGCGCCATTTCTTGGGCGTAATCCAGTGATCCGTGTGCAGTTCGTACAGCACTAAGATTGTAGTTGGTTGAGCGCGGGTGAAGCACAGTTACTAACAGTAGTGCAGTCAAGTTCAAGGACAGTGTGGCGACTTCCACTCGTTGCTCAAACGAGATACTGTTGCCCAACAACGTTTATTGTATTTCATTTTATATATCAGTTTGTCGGCATTTATTAATACTCTCTACATTTTATCATTTTCACAGACAAGTAAGTAGTTTGTTGCTGTTTGATCTGCATCGCTGATATATGTTTGTTTTGTTGTTGTTTTTCAACCTAACAGCGTTTGGAAAACAAACAAAAAATCAATTCCCCCCTTTAATTTATCCATAAAAAACAGTTGAACAACTTCATTCAACAATCTACCTAATGAGTGTGCCGGTTGGCAAACTCGAATTTCCTCTATGGTCAAGTAAACAACGATTCTCAAAGATCAACAGCCAGGTCAGAATCACAGTGACCAAAAGCCCAGTTATAGGACAGTAATCCAGTCCCTAGCTGCCCAATTACAAATCATTACAACCGTGTTCAGCTCTTCAATCAAGTGTCATTACGACAGTGCCCAGCTGCCCAATTACAAGTGGTTACCATAGTGCTCAGCGGCCTTGTTACGGAGCATCCATCACCTGTCTGTAGGTTTAAACAGTTGTGGACGAACAAAAGGTACGTGGTACGTTAGACGGAGTTCGAGATCTTTTTATTCCTCTAAATAACAAGTCTTTTATAGTACTCAGTTTGTTTGAAATCTTGGTTTCCTCACGATCGCACTCATTAAACTCCATACACAAATGTTTACCTTTAAATGTTTTTCTTGAGTTTCTTTACGGGTAACAGCTCTTGTTTCATCCATGGAATGTTTGACTGTCCTTAATGTTATTCTAGTTTAGGAGTACAAGTTATATACTTTAAAAAAAAGGTTTGTTCTGAATAATTTAACCTGTTTGAATTGAAACGAAATAAATTTTGCTAGCTTATGAAGGTAAAATACCTAACTGAACATAATTAGTTCTTCAGTTGACTGGCATTTGTTATAAAACAAAATTTCAGCGTCTCTACAAAATATAACTTTTGTGACATTTCTTCTTGTTGTTATATTCAGTGTATTAGGGACATTCTCCTAGTGAAATAATTACTGTATCTATCACTATTCTCACGTGTTTGTAATTTTATAAAAATATATTTCATCGTTTATAGTATCAAAAGAAACCAACCAATTTCAGTAATGACGAAAGGCAGGCTTCCTTGACATAGCAGCAGAGTACGAATGCATGTAAGCAAAAGACGAATAACTAACTTTGAGTGGCTCAAGATGAGTATGTTTCATGTTTAAGTAGATCTTTATGAAACAGGTATCACAATAACGATGAGGGTGTAAATATCGAGTGATGATAATGGAGGAAAAAAACATCACATCATTGATTAACTGCGCTCAAGGTACTGCCAATACATTGTGCTTTCTCAGTCACGCTACCAGTTAGCATTTACTATTTGTCATATACCATTCAGATATTTTTTATTATTTTCAGAAAATACCATCTCGTTGATTAGTTCAGTTGAATCTGTTATTAAATGTAGAAATAAAATTATATAAAAATGGAAGAGACTAAATGTTTAAGTATGATCGTATGAAATATGTGACTGACCAAAAGGAAAGATGGGATTGTTTGAACTATGTAGTTTACTGAATGAAGAAATGGAATTGTGGTTTTGGTTGTTTAATGGAAAGGATATATTGTGTACAACAAAAGTCCTCTCACCTAACTAGGCCTCCTGCTGTGAGATACATATCTAACTAGGCTTTGCGTTTTAGGTGACTTCATCTAATTAGGCCTAGTATTCTAGTAGCTACACCTAACTAGACTAACTATGTCCATCCCCTCTAGAGTCTATGAGAAGTCTCAGGCAGCTCAAGATTGATTTCAGAGAGACCCAACAATACCAAGCCTTTGAAACCGTTGCTGTCGTGATAACCTCATATGTTTGATAGACGGGTGACTAACTAACCAACTTCAACTACCTTGTTTCCACAATCTAACCAGTTTTTTAACATCTACCTAACTGAGTATGCATACATCACTTGACATCGGTCTACTTGAAACTGTGTTTACAAACACATTATGCCCGGCATGGCCAGGTAGTTAGGGCGCTCGACTCGCAATCTGCGGGTCGCGGGTTCGAATCCCCGTTACACCAAACATGCTCGCCCTTTCAGCCGTGGGGGCGTTATAATGTGACGGTCAATCCCACTATTCGTTAGTACAATAGTAGCCCAAGAGTTGGCGGTGGGTGGTGATGATTAGCTGCCTTCCCTCTAGTCTTACACTGCTAAATTAGGAACGGCTAGCGCAGATAGTCCTCGTGTAGCTTTGTGCGAAATTCAAAACAACCAACCAACAAACAAACAAACACATTAATGCTTTAAAAGGGCAATATATTTAACCATGTATCTTCGGGAGGTTTTCAGTCATTTTCGGGAGGATGTTATGCAAATCAAGGAGACTTCTGGAAAATCCTGGAGACTTGGGTTGTCTGGATCCCCCTCCCCTCATCTACAAAAAAATCCTTATATGGAGCTTCTTAATTTTTGGTTATGAGAAGATTACCTAACAACATAAGGTCTACTATGAAACAAGGAATTTATCAGCTCCAGTTTATGTCAAAGCCAGTTTCATATATAAAATACAAATTACGAATCAGTTTGAATACAAAAATTGTCATATAAAAAATCTTACATTTTTTATTAATTCTAAACAAAGATGTTAGAGCTTCTTTATAAATCAAACTATAATCTCGTTCCCTTTTCTACAGTTCTTAATAAGGAAATATAATTACCGCTCGATTAATATACCTACACTTTTGTTTTCCCTTCTTCTTTCCATTAAATCGGCCCGGCATGGTTAGTTGATTAGAGCGCTCGACTCGCAATCTGAGGGTCGCGGGTTCGGATCCCCGTCACACCAAACATGCTCGTTTTTTCAGCCGTGGGGGCGTTATAATGTGACGGTCAATCCCACTATTCTTGATAAAAGAGTAGCCCAAGAGTTGGCAGTGGGTGGTGATGACTAGCTACATTCCCTCTAGTCTTACACTGCTAAATTAGGGACGGCTAGCGCTGATAGCCATTTTTTTATTTATTTTGTTTGCTGGATTTTTTATGCTCAACTATGGGTAAAGAATTACTTGTTATGGTAGCTAATTTTATACATCGTAATGATAATAAACATAGCTAGTAACTAGCTGAACCAGTTCATGATGATTTAATGTAGCTATTGACTATCTGATCGCATTAGTTTAAAATGTAAAATGTTAAGCTGCAGCTAGAGATTGTCGTGCAGATTTATTTGAGAATATAGTGAGCATTTATAGTTTCTGTGTAGCTAAATTATTTATAGATAATGCATAGTAATAGACAAATACATGCCTAGACAAAGACACAACCTCCACTAAGCTCGTATAAAATTTTACCAGTAGAAAGCAACCTTTTCAAATAAAACGTATACGTCTAAAACATCGCTTTAAATAAACCTTCGTGTCTTTTAAAATATATATTCTTCGAATGTGTTTAATAGAATTTAATATTTTATGTATTGATTTTTTTACTCCTTCACTTTATACACAAAATAGGGGTTAGTTCTCTAAAGACACCGATTGTATAATGTACAAAACACTGAGTATCTACATGCTACAGTCATCTAATGTTCACGTATTATTGGTTAGTATTTCCTGTTTCACCCTGTACTTAAACATTTTAAAGGAGCACCATATGTTCGTAAGAAAACTAACTTCAAGTGGTAATGATAACATCGTTTACACTAGAATTATGATGTTTTTAACTTATGTAAAATACAGAATAAACAAATCGACGTTTCGATACCCCTAAGATGGTAATGATAACATCGTTTACACTAGAATTATGATGTTTTAACTTATGTAAAATACAGAATAAACAAATCGACTTTTCGATACCCCTAAGATCTTCTCAATACCTTATTTAATATTCTACAAAAAGTTTGGGTGCAATCTAACAAGCAGTTTTTGTTGTTGGCTGGCAAGAGAAGAATAAGAACAAGAAAATTAAAAACGGGCCATTTTGAACGGATTTTCTTTTACTTGTAAGGCTAAGATGCGTGCTTTTTGGTGCATTTTTATATGTGTACAGTGTTAGCAGTCAATAGTAAAGGTTTTCAAGTGTTGTTTGAACTGAATCTTTACTGTTTGAAATGTTTTTTTTGCCCAAACATTCTATTCGAGTTTTGTGGAATTCCTTGCGATCTCTGTTATGAACCACCATCATGGTTCATGATGTTTGCTGCTGTATTTTTACCGACTAGAGAATGTCTTTTGATATGTACTCTTCTATCATATTGTGTTATAATTTCACCCTTGCAGACAGTTACTCGCAAGTGTTAACTCTTATGTAAGCGTTTATTCTAAAAATAACCGGTTATTATAGAAATTAGCATTTTTCTATAATTAATGCTAATTTGTTTGTAACAGCTTTGACTCTCGTTAAGTTTTTAGTTTAAGGCACTCTAGTTATAACGAAAGACAATCTGTGAGATTTTTCTTATAATTTATCTTTTACATTTGTTATATATATATATATATACGGTTATTTTTATTAGTGATTTTCTTGTTGAGCGATCAAGGTCGAATTGCTATTGTCATTTCTGCCAGGAAAGTCAAAATTTAGTTCATTTTTCGCTCCATGAGGTAAAATTATAAATATATATTTAAATATGTATCACGCAACGCTTGGTTCTAGTAGAGGGTAGGTTCGTCTAGAGACGTCAAGATTGTCTGGTTAAGAAGCGTTACAAATAAAGCTATACTTGAGTGTACGTATGTATATCAACGGTATTTGGGACTTCTTTGCACTTTCATGTTAATATATGATTACAAAGGAAAATTTAATATAATCAACTATATTGTGATTTAATTAACAGTAAAAATCGATTTTTGTTTTCATTGAGTAACTAGAAAATGTCCCTCTGGGCTTTGAATACAAATGCAAACTACGAGTACACATCTGTACATCTTGTCCTGTTGTTTTGAGACGAAAACACGAAAGCTAGTCCCAACATACCATCTATCGGACATACTTCAAACCTAACTTTCCTCTTTGGATGAGCTCAACACACCGGGTTCATGGAAAGTCGTTTACAATCGATATATTTTTAAACAAACAAAATGAAATACTCGCACTCAATCTCCCGGTAATCAATAGAAACTTCCTTAATTCAACTTCAATAAGAAGATCATAATAAAACGTATGTAAAATCGGTACATTAACAGTTATTATATCCTGTCATATTATTCGTTAACTATCAACTGAGAGTGTAAGTTTCATACTATCTTAGTGACATATGAACTTCTTTAAATGTTGATTAAGACACTTGTCTTTTATCGTGTGATCCTATGGAAGCTGAAATTTACTCTGAATTGGGAATTTATATGGATTAAATCTATTTGTTGAGTTGAGGACGACATTTTGAAATACTGGTTCAGGCCTTTATCGACAAAAGCTTGCACGAAGACCTGTGCAAACACTTCAAAACGTCGTTCTCAGCTCAACAGGCAGATGCAATCCATAAAAGTTATCAATTCACTGCAACTTTCTCTACCTAATATTTATATAAAGAATCCCAAGCTAACTAACAACG